ATCGAAGGAAATATTAAAGACAAGATATTGACGAGATGGACACACAAAGATGAAGACGCATCATCGAAGGAAATATTGAAGACAAGACAGTGAAAGAAATATGGAAGACGAGATGGACACAATACTGAAAATAGTTGAAGGAGATGGCAACACATCGAAGGAAATATTGAAGACATTGGCAGATAAGTGGAAAGAAATATGGAAGGAGATATTTGAAGACAAAGTGGACACACATCGAAGGAAATATTGAAGACAAGACGGGTAGACAAGACATTGAAGGGAATATTAAAGACAAGATGGACACAATCGAAGGAAATATTGAAGACAAACGGGTAGACAGTGAAAGAAATATGGAAGACGAGGATGGACACACATTGAAGGGAATATTGAAGACAAGATGGACACACATGGAAACATAGCGACATAGGACAGAAAGAAATATAAAGACGAGATATTGAAGACAGATGGACGAAGGAAATATTGAAGACAAAGATTGGGTAGACAGTGAAAGAAATATGGAAGACGAGATGGATAATATTGAAGGGAATATTGAAGACAAAGATGGACACATCGAAGGAAATATTGAAGACAAGATGGGTAGACAGATGGACATTGAAGGGAATATTGAAGACAAGATGGAAATCGAAGGGGAAATATTGGACAAGACGGGTAGACAGTGAAAGATGGACACACATTGAAGGGAATATTGAAGACAAGATGGACGCACAGTGAAAGAAATATGGAAGACCCAGAAGGGAATATTGAAGACAAGATTCGAAGGACAAGACAAGGGTAGACAGTGAAAGAAATATGGAAGACGAGATGGACACACATTGAAGGGAATATTGATAATGACAACAAGACAGGAAAGATGAAAAGACGAGATGGACACACATTGAAGGGAATATGAAGACAAGATGGACACACATCCATTGAAGACAAGACGGTAGACAGTGAAAGAAATATGAAGACGAGATGGACACACATTGAAGGGAAATTGAAGACAAGATGGACACACGAAGGAAATATTGAAGACAAGACGGTAGAATGAAAGAATTAAGAAGACAAGGGATGGACGAAGGAAACATCGAAATATGAAATGACACACACATTGAAGGGAAGACAAATGGACACACACGTGAAGGAAATATTGAAGACAAGACGGCAGACAGTGAAAGAAATATGGAAGACGAGATGGACTGAAGGAATATTGAAGACACATTGAAGGAAATATTGAAGACGGTAGACAGTGAAAGAAATATGAAGACGAGATGGACACACATTGAAGGGAATATTGAAGACAAGATGGACACACACGAAGGAAATTGAAGACAAGAAGACAGGAAAGAAATATGGAAGACGAGATGGATTGAAGGAATATTGAAGACAAGAGACACATCGAAGGATGGACGGGTAGACAGTGAAAGAAATATTGACGAGATGGACACACATTGAAGGGAATATTGACCTGGTGAGTCACACATCGAAGGGAAAGGCTGAAGACAAGACGGCAGTAGACATAAAGACGAGATGACACATTGAAGGGAATATTGAAGATGATGGACACACGAAGTAGAAATATTGAAGACGGGTAGACAGTGAAAGTGAAATGGACACAAATTATGGAAGACAAGATGGACACACATTGAAGGGAAATATAAAGACGAGATAGCGAATATTGAAGACAAGATGGACACACATCGAAGGAAAGTTATTGAAGACAAGACGGGTGACAGTGAAAGAAATATGGAAGACGAGATGGACACACATTGAAGGAATATTGGAAGACAAGATGGACACACATGGACAAAGACGAAAGATGGACACACATTGAAGGGAATATTGAAGACAAGATGGACAAAGATATTGAAGACAAGACGGGTAGACAGTGAAAGAAATATGGAAGACGAGATGGATACACATTGAAGGGAATATTGAAGACAAATGGACACACATCGAAGGAAATATTGAAGACAAAGACGGGTGGAAGCACAGTGGAAAGAAGGGAATATGGACAAGATGGACGAAGGGAAATATTGGACACACATGGAAGACGAGATGGAAGAAGGAATATTGAAGACAAGATGGACACATCGAAGGAAATATTGAAGACATTTACAGATAGAAAGAAAAGAAAGGAACATTGAAGACAAGATGGACGAAGGAAACATTGAAGACAAGACGGTGAAAGAAATATGGAAGACGATGACATTGAAGGATGGACACACATTGAAGGAAATATTAAAGACGGGTAGACAGGAAAGATGAAGACGAGATGGACACACATTGAAGGGAATATTGAAGACAAGATGACACATCGAAGGAAAGAAGACAAGACAGTGGAAATATGGAAGACGAGATGGACACACAGGGTGAAATGGACAAATATGAAGACAAGACGGGTAGACGAAAGAAATATGGAAGACACACATTTGAAGAAGGAAATATTGAAGACAAGACGGTAGACAGTGAAAGATGGACACACATTGAAGGGAATATTGAAGTCAAGATGGATACACAGAAATTATTGAAGACAAGACGGGTAGACAGGAAAGAAATATGGAAGACAGTGAAGAAATGGACACACATCGAAGGAAGACACATAAGACGGTAGACATGGACGAGATGGACACATTGAAGGGAATATTGAAGACAGATGGATAATACATCGAAGGAAATATTGAAGACAAGACGGGTAGACAGTGAAAGAAAATATGGACACATTGAAGGGAATATTGAATATTGAAGACAAGACGGGTAGACAGGAAAGAAATATGGAAGACGAGATGGACACACATTGAAGGGAATATTGAAGCCAAGATGACAAGATGGACATTGAAGACACGGGTAGACATGAAAGAAATATAAGACGAGACAAGACAAGATGGACACACACATCGAAGGAAAGTGAAGACAAGAAGATGAAAGAAATATGAAGACAGATGGATTGAAGGACATTGAAGACAAAAGATGGACCGAAGGGAAATATGAAGATGAGAGATGGACACATAATAAGGGAATATTGGACACACATCGAAGGAAATATTAAAACAAGACGGTAGACAGTGAAAGAAAATATGGAAGACGAGATGGACACACGGTGAAGGGGAATATTGAAGACAAGATGGACACACATCAAGATGTAGACACATGGACACACACGAAGGGAATATTGAAGACAAGATGGACACACACATCGAAGGAAGAATATTGAAGACAAGACGGTAGACAGTGAAAGAAATATGGAAGGAGATGGGACGAAGATGGACACACATCGAAGGGGAAATCATTGAAGACAAGAAGACAGTGAAAGAAATATAAGACGAGATGGACAATATTGAAGGGAATATTGAAGACAAATGGACACATCGAAGGAAACATTAAGACAAGACGGGTAGACAGTGAAAGAAATATGGAAGGAGAGACACATTGAAGGGAATATTAAAGACAAGATGGACACATTGAAATATGGGAAGACGAGATGACACATTGAAGACAAGATGGACACACATCGAAGGAAATATTGGAAGACAAGACGGTAGACAGTGAAAGAAATATGGAAGACGAGATGGACACATTGAAGGGAATATTGAAGACAAGATGGACACATCGAAGGAAATATTGAAGAAGACAAGACGGTGAACAGTGAAAAGAAATATAAAACGAGATGGACACACATTGAAGGGAAGGACAAAGCCATGATGGACACAGATCGAAGGAAATATTGAAGACAAGACGGGTAGACAGAAAGAAATATGAAGACGAGATGGACACATTGAAGGGAATATTGAAGTCAAGATGGACACATCGAAGGAAACATTAAAGACAAGACAGCAGACAGTGAAAGAAATATGGAAGACGATGGACACACATTGAAGGAATATTGAAGACAAGATGGACACACATCGAAGGAAATATTGAAGACAAGACGGGTAGACAGTGAAAGAAATATGGAAGACGATGGACACGTGAAGGAATATTGAAGTCAAGATGGACACACATCGAAGAAATTATTGAAGACAAGACGGGTAGACAGTGAAAGAACATGGAAGACGAGATGGACACATTACTGAAGGGAATATTGAAGTCAAGATGGACACACATCGAAGGAAATATTGAAGACAAGATTGGCAGACAGTGAAAGAAATATGGAAGACGAGATGGACACACATTGAAGGGAATATTGAAGTCAAGATGGACACATCGAAGGAAATATTGAGAAGACAAGACGGGTAGACAGTGAAAGAAATATGGAAGACGAGATGGACACATTGAAAGGGAATATTGAAGTCAAGATGGACACATCGAAGGGAAATATTGAAGACAAGACGGCAGACATGTGAAAAAGAAATATGGAAGACGAGACACACATTGAAGAGGGAATATTGAAGACAAGATGGACACACATCGAAGGAAATATTGAAGACAAGACGGCAGAGACAGTGAAAGAAATATGGAAGACGAGATGGACACACATTGAAGGGAATATTGAAGACAAAGATGGACACACATCGAAGGAAATATTGAAGACAAGACGGGTAGACAGTGAAAGAAATATGGAAACGAGATGGACACACATTGAAGGGAATATTGAAGACAAGATGGACACATCGAAGGAAATATTGAAACAAGACGGGTAGACAGTGAAAGAAATATGGAAGACAGAGATGGACACACATTGAAGGGAAATATTGAAGACAAGATGGACACATCGAAGGAAATATTGAAGACAAGACGGGTAGACAGTAAAGAAATATGGAAGACGAGATGGACACACATTGAAGGGGAATATTAAAGACAAGATGGACACACATCGAAGGAAATATTGAAGACAAGACGGGTGACAGTGAAAGAATATGGGAAGACGAGATGGACACACATTGAAGGAAATATTGAAGACAAGATGGACACACATCGAAGGAAATATTGAGGACAAGACGGGTAGATAGTGAAAGAAATATGGAAGACGAGATGGACACACATTGAAGGGAATATTGAAGTCAAGATGGACACACATCGAAGGAAATATTGAAGAGACAAGACGGGTAGACAGTGAAAGAAATATGGAAGACGAGATGGACACACATTGAAGGAATATTGAAGACAAGATGGACACACATCGAAGGAAATATTGAAGACAAGACGGGTAGACAGTGAAAGAAAATATGGAAGACGAGATGGACACACATTGAAGGGAATATTGAAGACAAGATGGACAATAATATCGAAGGAAATATTGAAGACAAGACGGGTAGACAGTGAAAGAAATATGGAAGACGAGATGGACACAGTGAAGGGAATATTGAAGACAAGATGGACACACATCGAAGGAAATATTGAAGACAAGACGGGTAGACAGTGAAAAAATATGGAAGAAGATGGACACATTGAAGGAATATTGAAGTCACAAGATGGACACATCGAAGAAACACATTAAAGACAAGACGGTAGAGACAGTGAAAGAAATATGGAAGGCAGATGGACACACATTGAAGGGGAAATATTGAAGACAAGATGGACACATCGAAGGAAATATTGAAGACAAAGACGGGTAGACAGTGAAAAGAAATATGGAAGACGAGATGGACACACATTGAAGGGAATATTGAAGACAAGATGGACACACATCGAAGGAAATATTGAAGACAAGACGGGTAGATAGTGAAAGAAATATGGAAGACGAGAGATGGACACATTGAAGGAATATTGAAGACAAGATGGACACACATCGAAGGAAATATTGAAGACAAGACGGGTAGACAGTGAAAGAAATATGAAGACGAGATGGACACACATTGAAGGAATATTGAAGACAAGATGGACACACATCGAAGGGAAATATTTGAAGACAAGACGGGTAGACAGTGAAAGAAATATGGAAGACGAGATGGACACACATTGAAGGAATATTAGAACAAGATGGACACATCGAAAAATATTAAGACAAGACGGGTAGACAGGAAAGAAATATGGAAGACAGAGATGGACACACATTGAAGGGAATATTGAAGACAAAAGATGGACACACATCGAAGGGAAATATTGAAGACAAGACGGTAGACAGTGAAAGAAAATATGGAAGACGAGATGGACACACATTGAAGGGGAATATTGAAGACAAAGATGGACACACATCGAAGGAAATATTGAAGACAAGACAGGTAGACAGTGAAGAAAGAAAATATGGAAGACGAGATGGACACATTGAAGGAATATTAAGACAAGATGGACACACATCGAAGGAAATATTGAAGACAAGACGGTAGACAGTGAAAGAAAAATGGAAGACAGAGATGGACACATTGAAGGAAATATTGAGGAACAAGAAAGGACACACATCGAAGGAAATATTGAAGACAAGACGGGTGAACAGTGAAAGAAATATGGAAGACGAGATGGACACATTGAAGGGAATATTGAAGACAAGATGGACACACATCGAAGGAAATATTGAAGACAAGACGGTAGACAGTGAAAGTTAAGAATATGGAAGACATTGAAGGATTGAAGACAAGATGGACACATCGAAGGAAATAAAGACAAATAGATTGAAAGAAAATATGGAAGACGAGATGGACATACTGAAGGGAATATTGAAGACAAGATGGACACATCGAAGGAAATACAAGACAAGGGTAGACAGTGAAAGAAATATGGAAGACGAGATGGACACACAGTGAAGGGAATATTGAAGACAAGATGGACACACATCGAAGGAAATATTGAAGACAAGACGGTAGACAGTGAAAGAAATATGGAAGACAGTGACACATTGAAGGGAATATGAAGACAAGATGGACACATCGAAGGATGGACAAGACGGCAGACAGAAAGAAATATGGAAGACGAGATGGAATAGCCAGAAGACAAGATGGACACACATCGAAGGAAATATTGAAGACAAGACGGGTAGACAGTGAAAGAAATATGGAAGACGAGATGGACACACATTGAAGGGAATATTGAAGACAAGATGGACACACATCGAAGGAAATATTGAAGACAAGACGGCAGACAGTGAAGAAAGAAATATGAAGACGAGATGGACACATTGAAGGAATATTGGACAAGATGGACACACATCGAAGGAAACATTGAAACAAGACGGGGGTAGACAGGAAAGAAATATGGAAGACGAGATGGACACATTGAAGGGGAATATTGAAGACAAGATGGACACACATCGAAGGAAATAGTGAAGACAAGACGGGTAGACAGTGAAAAAAGATGGACACATTATGGAAGACAAGATGGACACATTGAAGACAAGACGGGAATATTGAAGACAAAGATGGACACACAGTGAAGGAAATAGTGAAGACAAGATGGACACATCGAAGGAAATATTGAAGACAAAGACAGACAGTGAAAAGAAATATGGAAGACAAGATGGACACATTGAAGGGAATATTGAAGACAAGATGGACACACATCGAAGGAAATATTGAAGACAAGACGGTAGACAGTGAAAGAAAATATGGAAGACAAGATGGACACATTGAAGAGGAATAATGAAGACAAGATGGACACACATCGAAGGAAATATTGAAAGACAAGACGGGTAGACAGTGAAAGAAATATGGAAGACGAGATGGACACACATTGAAGGAATATTGAAGAAGGGGAATATTGAAAATGGACAAGATGGACACACATCAGAAGGAAATATTGAAGACAAGAACGGGTGAACAGTGAAAGAAATATGGAAGACAGAGATGGACACACATTGAAGGGGAATATTGAAGACAAGATGGACACATCGAAGGAAATATTGAAGACAAGACGGGTAGACAGTGAAAGAAATATGGAAGACAGAGATGGACACACATTGAAGGGGAATATTGAAGACAAGATGGACACACATCGAAGGAAATATTGAAGACAAGACGGGTAGACAGTGAAAGAAATATGGAAGACGAGATGGACACACATTGAAGGGAATATTGAAGACAAGATGGACACACATCAAAAAGAAGGAAATATTGAAGACAAGACGACAGTGGTAGACAGTGAAAGAAATATGGAAGACAGAGATGGACACACATTGAAGGGGAATATGGAAGACAAGATGGTCAAGATGGACACACATCAGAAGGAAATATTGACAAGACGGTGGAACAGGTATGGAAGACAGAGATGGACACACAGAGGAATATTGAAGACAAAGATGGACACATCAGAAGGAAATATTGTTGACAAGAAGACAGTGGAAAATATGGAAGACAAGATGGACACAGTGAAGAGGAATATTGAAGACAAGATGGACACATCACGGGAAGACAAGACAGGTAGACAGTGAAAGAAATATGGAAGACAGAGATGGACACATTGAAGGGAATAGTGAAGACAAGATGGACACACATCAGAAGGAAATGTGAAGACAAGACAGGTGAACAGTGAAAGAAATATGGAAGGCAAGATGGACACACATTGGAAGGGAATATTGAAGACAAGATGGACACACATCGAAGGAAATATTGAAGACAAGACAGGTGAACAGTGAAAGAAATATGGAAGACGAGATGGACACACATTTGAATGGGAATATGGAAGACAAGATGGACACATGAACAAGAGGAAACATTGAGAAGACAAGACAGATGGACACATTGGAAAGAAATATGAAGACAAATGGACACAAGATGGACACACATTGAATGAAAAAATATGGAAGACAAAGATGGACACATCAGATGGACACAAGGAAATATTGAAGACAAAGACGGGTGACAGTGAAAGAAATATGGAAGACAGATGGACACATTGAAGGAAATTGAGACAAGATGGACGCAAAAGGGAAATATTGAAGACAAGACGGGTAGACAGTGAAAAGAAATATGGAAGACGAGATGGACACATTGAAGGGGAAAAATGAAGACAAGATGGACACATCGAAGGAAATAATTGCAAAACAATATGGAAGACAGTGGAAAATTGAAATATTGAAAACAAGATGGACACATTGAAAGGGAATAGGGAAGACAAGATGGACACACATCAGAAGGAAATGTGAAGACAAGACGGGTAGACAGAAGCAAAAAATATGGAAGAAAAGGATGGGATGGACATTGAAGGGAATATTGAAGACAAGATGGACACACATCGAAGGAAATATTGAAGACAAGAGGGGTAGACAGTGGAAAAAATATGGAAGAAAAGATGGACACATTGAAGGAATAGGGAAGACAAGATGGACAAAAATAGGAAGGAAATATTGAAGACAAGACAGGAAGAGGGTGAAAGAAATATGGAGACAGAGATGGACAAAATTGAAAGGGAATAAAAGTCAAGATGGACACACATCGAAGGAAATATTGCAACAAGACGGGAGACAGTGAAAGAAATATGGAAGAGGAGATGGACACACATTGAAGCAAATATTGAAGACAAGATGGAAACATCGAAGAAATATTGAAGACAAGACAGGGGAGACAGTGAAAGAAATATGGAAGACAGAGATGGACACACATTGAAGGGAATAAGGAAGACAAGATGCAAACATAGGAAGGAAAAAAGAAAGACAAGACGGGTAGACAGTGAAAGTAAATATGGAAGAGGAAATGGACACACATTGAAGGGAATATTGAAGACAAAGATGGACACATCAAAAAATAGGAAGACAAGACGGGTGAACAGTGAAAAGAAATATGGAAGGAGATGGACAAATTGAAGGGAATATTGAAGACAAGATGGACACAGAAGGTAAAGGGAAGCAAGACGGGTGAACAATTGAAAAAAATAGGGAAGACAAATGGACACACATGGAAGAGGGACAGTGAAAATCAAAATGGAATCAGACAAAAAATATGGACACAAGGGAATGAAGACAAGATGGTGAAAGGAAATATGGAAGACAAGATGGACAAATATGGAGAAGAGGGAAAAATGAAGACAAAGATGGACAACACGAAGGAAATATTGAAGACAAGGTAAAAATGAAAAGAAATATGGAAGAAAGATGGACACATTGAAGGGAATTGTGAAGACAAGATGGAAAAACATCAGAAGGAAATATTGAAAGACAAGACGGGTAGACAGTGAAAGAAATATGGAAGAGGAGATGGACACACATGGAAGGAATATTGAAGACAAGATGGACACATCGAAGGAAATGTGAAGACAAGACAGGTGAACAGTGAAAGAAATATGGAAGACAGAGATGGAAACATTGAAGAATATTGAAGATCAAGATGGACACACATCGAAGGAAATGTGAAGACAAGACGGATGAAAGTGAAAGAAATATGGGAAAGAAAAATATGGAAAGATAGGGAGGAAAAGAAATATGGAAGAGAGATGGACACACATTGAAAGAATATTGAAGTCAAGATGGACACAAATCGAAGAAATATTGAAGACAAAACGGGTAGACAGTGAAAAACAAAAATATGGAAGAAAGATGGACACACATTGGAAGGAATATTGAAGACAAGATGGACATCGAGGAAAAATATTGAAGACAAGACAGGTGAGGGGCACAGTGAAAAGAAATATGGAAGACAGGATGGAAACATTGAAGGAAGGTAAGACAAAGATGGGTTTATCAGAAGGAAATAGTGAAGACAAAGACGGGTAGACAGTGAAAGAAATATGGAAGACAGAGATGGACACACATTGAAGAAGGAAAAAGACAAGATGGACACACAGGGAAGGAATTATTGAAGACAAGACGGGTAAACAGTGAAAAGAAAATGGAAGACAGAGATGGACACACATTGAAGGGAAAAAATAAGACAAGATGGACACACATCGAAGGAAATAGAGAAGACAAGACGGGTAGACAGTGAAAAAATATGGAAGACAGAGATGGACACACATTGAAGGGAATATTGAAGACAAGATGGACACACATCGAAAGAAATGCACAAGACAAGGTGGAGACAGTGAAAGAAATATGGAAGACGAGATGGACACACATTGAAGGGAATATTGAAGTCAAAGATGGACTTTTATCGAAGAAGGAAATATTGAAGACAAGAGGTAGACAGTGAAAGAAATATGGAAGACAGAGATGATGGACACATTGAAAATATTGAAGTCCAAGATGGACACACATCAGAAGGAAATATTGAAGACAAGACGGTGGACAATTGAAAGAAATATGGAAGACGAGATGGACACACATTGAAGGGAATATTGAAGACAAGATGGTGAACGGTGAAAATCAGATGGGAAATATTGACAGACAAGACGGGACAGACGGTGAGTGAAAGAAATATGGAAGACGAGATGGACACACATTGAAGGGAATATTGAAGACAAGATGGACACACATCAGAGAAATATTGAAGACAAGACAGGTGAACAGTGAAAGAAATATGGAAGACGAGATGGACACACATTGAAGGGAATATTGAAGACAAGATGGACACACATCAGAAGGAAATATTGAAGACAAGACGGGTAGACAGTGAAAGAAATATGGAAGACGAGATGGACACACATTGAAGAATATTGAAGACAAGATGGACACACATCGAAGGAAATATTGAAGACAAGACGGGTAGACAGTGAAAAGAAATATGGAAGACAGATGGACACACATTGAAGGGAATATTGAAGACAAGATGGACACATCGGGAAATATTGAAGACAAAGACGGGTAGACAGTGATGGACAACATTGAAATATGGAAGACGAGATGGACACACATTGAAGGAAATACGGATGAAGACAAGATGGACATCGAGATGGACATATTGAGAATATTGAGAACAAGATGGGTAGACAGTGAAAGACAGGTGAGCAGTGAAATGGAAGATGGAAGAGATGGACACACATTGGAGAATACCAAGTCAAAGATGGACACACATCAGAAGAAATATTGAAGACAAGACAGGTAGACAGTGAAAGAAATATGGAAGACGAGATGGATACACATTGAAGGGAATATTGAAGTCAAGATGGACACAGATCGAAGGAAATACTGAGGACAAGACGATTAGACAGTGAAAGAAATATGGAAGATATGGAATAGAAGACAAGATGGACACACATTGACAAAGGGAAAATATATGGAAGACAAGATGGACACACATTGAAGGGAAATTGAAGTCAGATGGACAGACAAGAAGGAAATATTGAAGACACGGGTAGAAAGAAATGGAAGACAGAGATGGACACACACATTGAAGGGAATAATGAAGACAAGATGGACACACATCGAAGGGAAATATTGAAGACAAGACGGGTAGACAGTGAAAGAAATATGGAAGACAGAGATGGACCACACATTGGAAAGGGAATATTGAAGACAAGATGGACACACATCAGAGGAAATATTGAAGACAAGACGGGTAGACAGTGAAAGAAATATGGAAGACGAGATGGACACACATTGAAGGGAATATTGAAGACAAGATGGACACACATCAGAAGGAAATGTGAAGACAAGACAGGTAGACAGTGAAGAAATGGAAGACAGAGATGGACACACATTGAAGGGAATAATGAAGACAAGATGGACACATCAGAAGGAAATATGAAAGACAAGACGGGTAGACAGTGAAAGAAATATGGAAGACAGAGATGGACACACATTGAAGAATATTGAAGACAAAGATGGACACACATCAGGAAATATTGAAGACAAGACAGGTGAACAGTGAAAAAAATATGGAAGACAAGATGGACACACATTGAAAGGAATATTGAAGACAAGATGGACACAGAAGGAAATATTGAAGACAAGACGGATGGACAGTGAAAATGGAAGACAGAATGGAAACATTGAAGGGAATATTGAAGACAAGATGGACACACATCAGACAGTGAAGACAAGACAGGTAGACAGTGAAAGAAATATGGAGAAGACGAGATGGACGCATTGAAGGGAATATTTGAAGACAAGATGGACACACATCGAAGGAAATATTGAAGACAAGACGGGTGAACAGTGAAAGAAATATGGAAGACAAGATGGACACACATTGAAGGGAATATTAGACACAAGATGGACACATCGAAGGAAATATTGAAGACAAGACAGGTAGACAGTGAAAGAAATATGGAAGACAGAGATGGACACACATTGAAGGGAATGTGAAGACAAGATGGACACACATCGAAGGAAATATTGAAGACAAGACGGGTAGACAGTGAAAGAAATATGGAAGACAGATGGACACATTGAAGGGAATATTGAAAGACAAGATGGACACATCGAAGGAAATATTGAAGACAGAACAAGACGGGTGAACAGTGAAAATATGGAAGACAGATGGACACACAGCTTGGAAGAATATTGAAGACAAAGATGGATGGACATCGAAGGAAATATTGAAGACAAGAACGGTGGACAGTGAAAGAAATATGGAAGACGAGATGGACACATTGAAGGGAATATTGAAGACAAGATGGACACACATCGAAGGAAATATTGAAGACAAGACAGGTAGACAGTGAAAAGAAAATATGGAAGACGAGATGGACACATTGAAGGGAATATTGAAGACAAGATGGACACACATCAGAAGGAAATAGCCAGAGAAGACAAGACGGGTAGACAGTGAAAGAAATATGGAAGACGAGATGGACACACATTGAAGGGGAATATTGAAGACAAGATGGACACACATCAGAAGGAAATATTGAAGACAAGACAGCATTGGGCAATTGGAAGACAGAAAATGGAAGGACAAGGATGGACACACATTGAAGACAAGGGAACAGTGAAAAAGACAAGATGGACACACATCAGAAGACAAGATGGTGAAGACAAGACAGACAAGACAGGTAGACAGTGAAAGAAATATGGAAGACGAGATGGACACATTGAAGGGAATATTGAAGACAAGATGGACACACATCAGAAGGAAATATTGAAGACAAGACGGTGAACAGTGAAAAATATGGAAGACGAGATGGACACATTGAAGGAATAGTGAAGACAAGATGGACACACATCGAAGGAAATATTGAGAACAAGACGGGTGAACAGTGAAAGAAATATGGAAGACAGATGGACACACATTGAAGGGAATATTGAAGACAAGATGGACACACATCGAAGGAAATATTGAAGACAAGACAGGTAGACAGTGAAAAGAAAATATGGAAGACGAGATGGACACACATTGAAGGAATATTGAAGACAAGATGGACACATCGAAGGAAATATTGAAGACAAGACGGGTGAACAGTGAAAATATGGAAGACGAGATGGACACATTGAAGGAATATTGAAGAGACAAAGATGGACACCTCAGAGGAAATATTGAAGACAAGACAGGTGAACAGTGAAAAGAAAATGGAAGACGAGATGGACACACATTGAAGGGAATATTGAAGACAAGATGGAGGACACACATCGAAGGAAATATTGAAGACAAGACGGGTAGACAGTGAAAGAAATATGGAAGACGAGATGGACACACATTGAGGGAATATGAAGACAAGATGGACACACATCGAAGGAAATATTGAAGACAAGACGGGTAGACAGTGAAAGAAATATGGAAGACGAGATGGACACATTGAAGGGAATATTGAAGACAAGATGGACACATCGAAGGAAATATTGAAGACAAGACGGAAACAGTGAAAGAAATATGGAAGACAAGATGGACACACATTGAAGGAATATTGAAGACAAGATGGACACACATCGAGAAGGAAATATTGAAGACAAGACGGGTAGACAGTGAAAGAAATATGGAAGACGAGATGGACACACATTGAAGGAAGCATGAAGACAAGATGGACACACATCGAAGGAAATATTGAAGACAAGACGGTAGACAGTGAAAGAAATATGGAAGACGAGATGGACACACATTGAAGGGGAATATTGAAGACAAGATGGACACACATCGAAGGAAATATTGAAGACAAGACGGGTAGACAGTGAAAGAAATATGGAAGACGAGATGGACACACATTGAAGGGAATATTGAAGACAAGATGGACACATCGAAGGAAATATTGAAGACAAGACGGGTAGACAGTGAAAGAAATATGGAAGACGAGATGGACACACATTGAAGGGAATATTGAAGACAAGATGGACACACATCGAAGGAAATATTGAAGACAAGACGGGTAGACAGTGAAAGAAATATGGAAGACGAGATGGACACACATTGAAGGGAATATTGAAGACAAGATGGACATCGATGGAAATATTGAAGACAAGACGGAAACAGTGAAGACAAGACGAGATGGACATTGAAGGGAAAGAAATATGGAAGACAAGACGGGATGGATGGAAGACATGGAAGGGAATATTGAAGACAAGATGGACACACATCGAAGGAAATATTGAAGACAAGACGGGTAGACAGTGAAAGAAATATGGAAGACGAGATGGACACATTGAAGGGAATATTGAAGACAAGATGGACACACATCGAAGGAAAATTGAAGACAAGAAGACAAGACGCACAGATGGACACACATTGAAGGGAATATTGAAGACAAGATGGACACACACAAAAGACAAGAAGGGAATGAAAAGAAATATGGAAGACGAGATGGACACACATTGAAGGGAATATTAGAGAAGATGGACACACAAAGGAAATATTGAAGACAAGACGGGTGAACAGTGAAAGAAATATGGAAGACGAGATGGACACACATTGAAGGAATATTGAAGACAAGATGGACACATCGAAGGAAATATTGAAGACAAGACGGTAGACAGTGAAAGAAATATGGAAGACGAGATGGACACACATTGAAGGGAATATTGAAGACAAGATGGACACATCGAAGGAAATATTGAAGACAAGACGGTAGACAGTGAAAGAAATATGGAAGACGAGATGGACACACATTGAAGGAATATTGAAGACAAGATGGACACATCGAAGGAAATATTGAAGACAAGACAAGACAGTGAAAGAAATATGGAAGACGAGATGGACACACATTGAAGGGGGAATATTGAAGACAAGATGGACATCGAAGGAAATATTGAAGACAAGACAATTAGACAGTGAAAGACATATGGAAGAAGAAATATGGAAGACAAAGATGGACACACATTGAAGGAATATGAAGACAAGACGGGTAGACAGTGAAAAAATGGAAGCATTAATGATTGAAGGGGTGAACAGTGAAAGAAAATATGAAGACAAGACGGGTAGACAGTGAAAGAAAATGGAAGACGAGAAGACATTGAAGAATATTGGACAAGATGGACATCGAAGAAATATTGAAGACAAGACGGGTAGACAGTGAAAATAAATATGGAAGACAAGATGGACACACATTGAAGGGAATATTGAAGACAAGATGGACACACATCAGAAGGAAAGAAATATTGAAGACAAATGGACACACATCGAAGGTAGATTGAAGACAAGTGAGACAAAGAAATATGGAAGACAGAGATGGACACAAATTGAAGGGATGAACGGATATTGAAGACAAGATGGACACATCGAAGGAAATATTGAAGACAAGACGGGTAGACAGTGAAAGAAATATGGAAGACGAGATGGACACACATTGAAGGGAATATTGAAGACAAGATGGACACACATCGGAAGGAAATATTGAAGACAAGACGGGTAGACAGTGAAAGAAATATGGAAGACGAGATGGACACATTGAAGGGAATATTGAAGACAAGATGGACACACATCGAAGGAAATATTGAAGAACAAGACGGGTAGACAGTGAAAGAAATATGGAAGACGAGATGGACACACATTGAAGGGAATATTGAAGACAAAGATGGACACACATCAGAAGAAGGAAATATTGAAGACAAGACGGGTGAGACAGTGAAAGAAATATGGAAGACGAGATGGACACACATTGAAGGGAATATTGAAGACAAAGATGGACACACATCGAAGGAAATATTGAAGACAAGACGGACAGACATGAAAAGAAATATGGAAGACAGAGATGGACACATTGAAGGGAATATTGAAGACAAGATGGACACACATCGAAAAGAAGACAAGACGGGCAGAGACAGTGAAAAGAAATATGGAAGACAGATGGACACACATTGAAGGGAATATTGAACAAGATGGAATCATCGAGGAAATATGGAAGACAAGACGGGTAGACAGTGAAAGAAATATGGAAGACGAGGATGGACACATATTGAAGGGAATATTGAAGACAAGATGGACACATCGAAGGAAATATTGAAGACAAGACGGGTGAACAGTGAAAGAAATATGGAAGACGAGATGGACACATTGAAGGGAATATTGAAGACAAGATGGACACACATCGAAGGAAATGGTGAAGACAGGAAAAAATATGGAAGACGATGGATGGACACATTGAAGGGAGACAGTGGAACATCGAAGGAAATATTGAAGACAAGACAAGACAGTAAAAGAAATATGGAAGACGAGATGGACACACATTGAAGGAATATTGAAGACAAGATGGACACATCGAAGGAAATATTGAAGACAAGACAGGTAGACAGTGAAAGAAATATGGAAGACGAGATGGACACACATTGAAGGGGAATATTGAAGACAAGATGGACACATCGAAGGAAATATTGAAGACAAGACGGGTAGACAGTGAAATATGGAAGACGAGATGGACACACATTGAAGGGAATATTGAAGACAAGATGGACACATCGAAGGAAATATTGAAGACAAGACGGGTAGACAGTGAAAGAAATATGGAAGACGAGATGGACACATTGATTAGACAGTGGAATATTGAAGACAAGATGGACAAAGATGGACACATCGAAGGAAATATTGAAGACAAGACGGGTAGACAGTGAAAAGAAATATGGAAGACGAGATGGACACACATTGAAGGATGGACAAGATGGACACACATTGAAGGGAATATTGAAGACAAGATGGACACACATCGAAGAAGGAAATATTGAAGACAAGACGGGTAGACAGTGAAAAGAAATATGGAAGACGAGATGGACACACATTGAAGGGAATATTGAAGACAAGATGGACACACATCGAAGGAAATATTGAAGACAAGACGGGTAGACAGTGAAGAAATATGGAAGACAGATGGACACACATTGAAGAGAATATTGAAGACAAGATGGACACATCGAAGGGAAATATTGAAGACAAGACGGGTAGACAGTGAAATTGAAACAAAGATGGAAGACGAGATGGACAGTGAAAAGAAATATGGAAGACATTGAAGGGAATATTGAAGACAAGATGGACACATCGAAGGAAATATTGAAGACAAGACGGGTGACAGTGAAAGAAATATGGAAGACGAGATGGACACACACATTGAAGGAATATTGAAGACAAGATGGACACACATCGAAGGAAATATTGAAGACAAGAAAATATGTTGACAGTGAAAGAAATATGGAAGACGAGATGGACACATTGAAGGGATGAAAAGAAATATGGAAGACAAGATGGACACACATTGAAGGAAATATTGAAGACAAGACAGGGACAGTGAAAGAAAGGTGGAAGACAGATGGACACACATTGAAAATATGGAAGACAAGATGGACACACATTGAAATATTGGAAGACGGGTGACAGTGAAAGATGGATGGACACATCGAAGGCAAAATATTGAAGACAAGATGGACACATCAGAAGGAAATATTGAAGACAAGACGGGTGAACAGTGAAAAAAATATGGAAGATGGATGGACACACATTGAAGGGAATATTGAAGAGAAGATGGACACATAATGAAGAAAATATTGAAGACAAGACGGGGACAGTGAAAGAAATATGGAAGACAAGATGGACACACATTGAAGGAATATTGAAGACAAGATGGACACATGGAAACAAGACAAGACAGGAAAATGAAGACAAGATGGACACACATTGAAGGAAATATGAAGATAAGAGGAAATGGACACACATTGAAGAAATAATGAAGACAAGATGGACACATAGAAATAGGCATAGACAGACATTGAAAGAAATATGGAAGATGAGATTATTAGGGGGAATAATGAAGACAAGATAGACAACATTACTGAAGATGTTTACACATTGAAGAACAAGATGGGCACTAAAAGGAAAATTAATATGGGTAGAATTTTGAAGAAAGATGGACACAAATTAAGAAATACTGAAATTTTGAAGACAAAGAAAATGGGAAGACAAGATATTGCACAAAATAAAGAAATTGGACACAAGAAAAAAGATGGGCACATAATGAAGGAAATATCAATGACAAGATGGGCTTACTTTGAAGAAAATATTTAAAAAATATGGGCATATTGATGGACATATTGGAGACATAAGTGACGCATATTGAAGAACACTGAAGACAGGATCATTTTTTTATTTTATATTTTGTTATCATTTCATATTTGGGAAATTTGGTTTAACTTTTTTCACTGGCATGAATTGGAACGATTATATTGAACTTATCGCTAGTCTCCTGCTAGGAATCTTGGTTCGCCGTTCTTGACAATTTTCCTCGCTCGAATCTATCTTCGTTCCGTTCGTTTGTTCGTTCGGCATCCGTCCGTCTCGAGAGACGATGGAGTAGCGCTCAGTGCGCTACGAACCTGGGCGGTATATATGGAGAACTAGGGCTGCCCGCACGTCTAGTTCCCCCTCTTGGCCTTGCTATCAGAGTCCAAAGGAGAGGATAAACCAATGCAGTTTGGTACCAGCGCGATTGCAGGAGTTGCCAGAAGGTAGCACAAAATGCCGTCCATCCGCCTTAGGGGCTCCACTACGGACTTGTGTAGGGTTTACTCCTTAGCCTTTTCTTATCTCGAAGATTTCCGCAAGGCAGTGGAGCTATTTAACCCATACTTGGGGTTTGGTTCATGGGCACCAAGATTTGTCCACACACCGGTGGGCCTGCATGCCTTATGTTAAGGGGGCCAAACTCCTCCCCCGTCCCCTGTAGTTTAGCCCGAGTGCGCAAGGTGCTCGGTTGCCATGTGTCGCCACGAGGAGGCACTACATGAGGCACTTGCTGATGGAGAGACTATATACTGGCAGGGGAAGACTTACGCACTCGGCTCCCCTTTTCGCATTTCTGCTAGCCAGCGTCGGTAACTGAAAGCGAGAAGCACTACCACTACAGACGACCACACTAGACGCATCACAACAGTTGAGACACACTATCTATCTTACGCTTTTATAAAGTCTATCATTCTTCCGTATATCGAATATTGCAGTCACATGCTTCTGTTATGTAAATATTCTTGATAAGAACCAAAGTAGAATCTGCAATGCTATCAGTTCTGGATGACAGCTGGTCTACCGCAAGAACAAATGGCAACCTGCTTCAAGAAAAAAAAACCGCCTCGTCACCCATGCATCGAAAGATACATGATTGCCTAAGAGTGTTTCACGCATGACACACAACTGACTGACTGAAAGACACAATACTCTTGGGGAATGTCTGAATCCTCTTCTTCTCCCCCCAGCTATGGGTAAATAAAAGCAGGACAGACCGTGTTCTCTTGACATGGATGAAAACTGATCTACCGCAGGAAGAAATGGCAACCGCCTCCGCCAAAAATCTGCCTCCTCAGGCATGTATCGAAAGATACATGATCGCCTAAGGGTGTATCATGCGTGACTCATAACTGACTGACTGAAAGCCATAATATCCTTGGAAAAGGTTTGAATACTCTTCTCCACACCCACGAGCTATGGGTAAATAGAAGGGCAGATCGTGTTCTATAGACATGGGTAACAACTGGTCTACCGCAGAAAGAAATGGCAACCTACTTCGAGAAAAATCTGCCTCCTCAGCCATGTATCGAAAGATACATGATCGCGTAAGGGTGTATCGCGCATGGCACATGATTGACTGTCTGCGCTTAAATTCATACAGTCTAGGTACTATAGCGAATAACAGTTACCAAGATACTGTTTATAGAAAAGATCTCTGTCGCCTCAAGTCTTCTGTTCATTTGTCATGGAATTGTCCAGCATCCATTGCTATATATGATTTTTATATTACGTAATCTTGTTTTCATGCCTTTTTTCTAATGCACAGTGATAATTCAGTCAATGCAGTGAAGTCTATACATCGCGAATAGTAAATTTCTTAGGGGTACAAAGAATACTGAACTGTTAGTTGTTATCAGTCTTCCTATGTCACATTGACAAATCCCATCAAAGATGAAGAAAAGACATATGGTTCTGTTGAAGGATGCTGATGGATCGAATATGTGAGCAACGAAGTTTTAGATAAAATGCAAATAGGAAACTTATACTTAACATCAGGAAGAGACAATTGAAATTACTAGGGCAAATAATGAGGAAAGGAGGCTTGGAAAATCTGATACTCTCAGAACAGGCTGAAGTTAAGAGTAGCAGAGGAAAACAAAGCACAACCAAACATGGGGAGCTTGAGTAAATCAATGTTGGAAGAAGTTTTAGGAGAAATAGAAAAAAAAACAATAAAATACATAAAATCTATTAAGAGCTACGTGTGACAGAAAATTGTGGAGAGCCATGATCGCCTACATCCTGATGGGACACAATACATAAAGAAAAAGACAAAATTAGCCAATGGTGGATAATTTCCTCAAAGTCTGGGAAAACACCTGATGCAGCAGAAATGTGGTTCTACAGAAGGATGCTTAGGATTCCATGCATCGAATGGAAAGAAGTTTTAGTTAAAATGCAAACAAAAAGGAAACTTATAATTAACATCAAGAAGAGACAACTGAAATTTCTAGAGCACATAATGAGGAAAGGGGACTTGGTAAATCTGATACACACAGGGCATATTTCTGGGTAGAGGAGAACAACTCATGACATACTTAGTGAGCTTGAGTAGATATATGGCGGAACAAGGTTTAGGAGAAATAGCAAAAAACGCAAAATCTATTAAGAGTTACGAAGTACAAGACGTTGCGGAGAGCCATGATCGCCTATGTCCTGATGGGACATAATAAATCCGGCGGTGAAACATCACGCGATCCACAAACGCTTGCAACAACGGACATAATTAACTCTATCCAGCACATGGCAAAGCGGCAGTGGAACATCAAAAAGGCCCCTAATGACAGCAACAAAGGTACGGGACAGTGTGTTATCTTTGTTTTCATTATTTACAGTCGAACTAATATCCTGATCTTTGTTGTTATTAAGAGTGTTTCGACTATTTCACTCGCTAGCTTTCTTCAGGTGTCAGTAGATCCGTGTAATATTCACCCTGACCCTGCTAGGGTCCCAACTAGGAACAAATAGTTAAACCCAAGACTAGAGTCAAAACACTATCATCCTGGGTATGACGATAAAATATATCCATGTCCTGAGTAGGACGATAAACTACATCCGCGTCCTGGGTAAGACGATAAACTATATCCGACAGCAAGGTTTCTGATCAGGTGGTTTTGAGGAGCGTGGAACCACCTCGTAAGTGCTGGTGTTCCCAGGTTCACCCTAACCCTGAGTTGCGGCTCTGTCTTCGGGCAGAGTGTGACTAAGATTGTGGCCTCTGTCATGGGATTAATATCATCTCTCTGTTGAGTCTCTGTCTTCGGGCAGAGTGTGACTCAGTTGTGGCTTTCGTGGGATGAATATCGTCTCTCAGTTGAGGATCTGTCTTCGGGTAGAGTCTGACTAAGATTGTGGCCTCTCTCGTGGGATGAATATCATCTCTTAGTTGAGTCTCTCTCTTCGGGCAGAGTGTAACTCAATTGTGGCCTCTGTCATGAGATGAATGTCATTTTCTCAGTTGAGGCTCTGACTTCGGGCAGAATGTGACTAAGTTTGCGGACTCTGTCGTAGGATGAATATATTCTCTCAGTTGAGGCTCTGTCTTTATTCAGAGTGTGGCTCAGTTGTGACCTCTGAGGAAAATAATACTTTGAGGTGCCCAGCCTTGGGTAACCCTTTCATTGCACAAGAGAGGGAGCAGTGCTCGCCACTGAGACCAGCGTATCCGGGGCTTGCGATGACTGGCGAATTTTTGTACCTGAACCGAGTGTACCCTCTTGAGTTCCCCTCATAAAACCCGACCTTGAGTCACATGTCATTAGTCGGGAGACTTGACTAATACAGTATACTGACTGGTTTTTGCGGTTATTCAGACCTGTATCTCTGTGAATTTGTGACAATTTGCCTTATTCTTGTTACATTCACATTCCAGAAATTCAAATTCAAATCAGAGGATGGTGTTCATTTTTTTTAACCTTTTCGACGAATTCTCTTTCTGCAAACTCTAAAATAAAACTATTTCTTGCTATTAAAAACTTTACCTCACAGATTGAGAGCATCCCAGATCTTCTGTATGCAAAATGTCTCTTCTGAACGTGGCACGTCATGGCTCTCACAATTTCCTGTCTGTGTAGCTCTTAGCAACGTCTGCGTGTTTAAAATCCTTCTCATTCCATGATCTGACATCTAGTTAATCAAGTTCGCTAAACATATTACTCGCTGTTTTCTTCTGTTTTATTTGCCTCCAACAATGTCTGTGAGTGTCAAATTTTCCAACCTTTATTCGACATTATGGTTCAAAACACTATGGAAGTATAAAAATAAGTTTTAATACCAATAATAAAATTTTGAGAAAAAAAAAACTTATTCCCTGCAATGAATTTCTGAAGAAAAAAATTAAAAGCAAAACAGATTTGACATTCATATTACCAGCAATAAATCTTTCAAAAACATTATTACTAGCAACACATTTTTGAAAAAAAAAGTATTACGAGTAATACATTTTTGAAAGAAAAAATATTACCAGCAATATATTTTTGAAGGAAAATATTACCAATAGTAACTTTTTGAAAGAAAAAATATTACCAGTAATACATTTTTGAAAAAAAATATTACCAGCAATATATTTTTTCG